ATATGCAAACCTCTCCATGATCGCAGCTGCCAGTCAAAGCGGTCATGATGACGTTATACCCCAATTTAACAGCATTATGTTAGTAATTAGAATCAAACTTATGAGAAAGGAGACCACTTGAACACAAATCAGCCTGATGTGAACTACTGATAATGAAATAAACCATGCTAACGTGGAGGAGGCGGGGTTTATGACCAGCCAGACACCAGGGGCCATTTTGGCTTCATTTTGGGGGCGATGTTAGGTCGTCCATGTGTGTCAAAAAACTAAAAGAATATACACAAATTGATCAGAACAGGTCTGTAATGTTTTCTCTTAGGAGAAAAATGTTGTTTTATACTGCTACACTGCCACTTAGTGGAAGAAATACGAACTAAAAACTGTACCAAACTGGAAACGGGAATTTCCCAAGTTTTGGATTCACTTTTCAGTTAAAAATAAATAAATAGTGTAGAATGGTTATCTTAAATGTATTATTGATAATAACCAATCCGCACAAATATCCAATACTACACTATCCACATCACAATTTCACTATGGCATATTCTTGCTGCCTTCAGGTACTCCTCGTGGTTCAAACCATTACATTTAAGGGCAGCAGTATATATTGCACTTTTTGACCCAAAGACATTTGGTTGTCCCTCTGTTAATAACAGACTGTAAGTTTAGCTATCAGCTGTGGCTTTATTCGTTTTCTTAAATGTAAGGCTTCTGTGCAGAAAACTGAAGAGAAGTTCTATCGACCTTGACAAAGCTTTGGTAGTTGCTAACTACCAAAGCTTGTTGGTTCATCCACCCCTAAGATGAAAATTCAATACTGCCCCTGAACGCAACACTAGGCCCACTGGAAACCGTGTAGTGGCTCCATGGATCATATCCATTTAGTAGGGCGGGCCTTTTCCCGTGTCGCTGCTACAGGGATACCAAGATGGAAATCCAGGGGCTTTCTGATGCCCAAAACATTCAGTCTCAACATGGCGCCCTACACAGAAGCATTTCGTCTCCACATCGATCGGCAACGGGGTCAATACCTCATTTTATTTCCAGCGAAAATGAAGCGGAAGTGCTGCTGGAGTCGCTTGAGCTACACAGCGACAACAACAACAACACTAGGCCGAGAACATCGCCGTTTCGCCTACTGGCGGAAAATGGCAGCGAGGTGGCTTGTTCGCCTGTCAGCGCACCGCAAACTACGCTTAAAAGCAATTTGCCGGGTAACAGACCGGGCGTGGGATTTCATAACGTGAACCCGGAGAAGGAAAATGAGCTCAGTGCCCTACGAGCTTCACAGGAGTTTGTCAAGACAGCCTGGAAATACGGATTAGAAAGCGGGGATGTTGTAATGCAAATGGCGCTGCCTCTCTTTGAAGGGGAAGAGGAACCGATGCCGCAGCGGCAACCAACGTTTCCAGTTTTACGGCAGCAGCGTGAGGACGGCTCCTGCAAACAGCCCTCAGTAGCCAGCCATAGCGCTGCGGCGCTGGGGAACTTGAGCACGGTAAACCTGGCGGAACAAACCACCCAGGAGTTTTATGTTCTTTTTAATGTCGTTCAAGACGAAGGCAGCGGCGAGACAAGTAAACAGCGCCCGG